GAGACCACAGACCGCAGCAAACCCATCACCTGAACCCGCCCACCACCACCACCACCACCACCTGTCCTCGCCTGGGGGAACTGTCACTACGGCAACATGACCGACCCACTGGTTCTGCACTGTGGTTTGGACTGGTTTACATCGTCGCTCCTTGACACGCGAAAAGGAATCACTAACAAATAATCCAAGTACCATTTTAGTTTTTATTGCTTTTTCTGCTTTTAATTTTTTAAAAATCTGTTGCTGTGGTTAGAAATAGTAGAGGATGGGCGGGTGGCGGGTGGCGGGGGGGCTGCCTCAGTCTGCCCCTTTCAAAAACTGTGGACAATCCTAAGCACCTGAATGTTTGTCTTCTCTGGCTGCTTTGACACTAGAAGACAGCCACCAGGCTCTGGGTAGATGGAGTCTGGTGAGCTCCTTTCCTGCGCTTCAGGCTTGTAAAAGTGGCGGTTGAACGTTTTGGATTATGAACTTTTGGAGCCACTGTGGACACTCATCCCCCTGCTGGACAATGAAGTTGAATTTTCTGGATTCAAAACTCTAACTTCAATGCTCTGACAGTGTCGTGGCGCTGTAGTGGTCCTAATCCTGGAGCAGCAGAGAACTGGCTCGAACTCCAGCTTTTCCCTCTTTTGAAATCATCTCTGAACTTTAACATGTAGCCTCCAGGCTCTATAGAGACTATTTCACCGCAGGACGTCGGTTACAAAAAAACAATGAAGCTACACTGCAGAAAAAAACACTATCATCGAGTCATTTCTGTCTATAATTAAGTCCCAAAAACACAATTTAAAAACAATCTTCCAGTGCATTTTAATAGAAATAAATGTCTCAGTTTTGATTTCATTTTCTAGAAATGTGTTTGCATCTTGAAACAAGAGAAATAAGGCAGGTTGCCCAGTTGAAGAAAGAAGACAGGAACATTACATACATATATATATTTGCATTGGAAACAGAAAATCCTTACCAAACTCATTTCAAGAAAATAAATCCCAGACAAAAATGACTTGATGAGAACGATGTTTGTTGCAACGTGTTAACTAACCATAGTTGAGTTGTGATTGTGAGACGTCCTGATTGGTCAGTTGTAGAATCGTTCTGAACAACGTAACCGCTGTTTCAGATCAAACACGCTAAGAGCGAAGAGTTTGCACGAGGTGGAGCGCAAAGTGAAGAGAAGCACGTAATCCTGCGAAGCTAAGCAGCTAACCACAATGCTACAGACCACATTTCCATCCATCTGGTTTTTTTGCGCATAAAAAAATCTGATCGGTATAAATATGCACGCTTGGCTGAGCAGGAAAAGTTGGTTTATAGATAAAAACAAAGTGCAATGTAAACACATAAAACGTCCACTAAAGAGATGACAACACCAAATGTGTGTGGAGCAGCGAGGAGACTGTAACCTTCCTCGAATTAATACATGAAACAATCAGAAATGTCATATTTCCATCATGTTTTTCACCTTCTCAGGTTTTTGTCCTCTTCTTCTTCTTCTTCTTCTATGGTTTAATAGCTGAAGAATTGGCGCCCACCTACTGTTAATCTCAGTGCTCCCAACGGTGGTGGATAGAAAGGCACATTCGTTTTCTTTTGCCAATTTTCTGCAAATTTATTTAATATTTGCGCTTCATTTGGATGGAAACTGGACTAACGGGATGTAAACAATCACAATATATGCGTTTGTTTTGGGTTTTTTTTTTCGTGGTATCTTCGTCTTCTCATCTTGATTTTCCTGGTAGGACTCGGGATGTAAGAAAACTGCTGGAAGTGAGGCACAAAATTACACAATTCTTCTCTACAGTGAAATTCTCGCCATCATACTGCAACTTCTGCCTCAGGTCAGAAAGAGAATACCACGTGTGTTTGTTCCAGTTCAGTTCAGTTTAACTTTTGGCTGCTAAACGTGGCAGAAAAATAAGTGTAGGGCGTTCCACTGTGGGTAGTGCAGCTGCTCTCTTCATTGGAAAATAATGGCCTTGCTCTACACAATGTCAAAGCTTGCACTTTTGGTGTGAAACCCTGAGATACTGGTCAGACGGGCCGTACTGTCCCAGATCAGAGCAATGTGGATCCACAGCGACGAGCCGCTCAGTTCTGGTTATATTTAGGGTCTGAAATTAATCCGAAATTAGTGTTTTGTGGCAGAAGATTAAAAAAACATCAACATGTAAGTTTTGGTGATTGAGGTCTTTTGCACCAGAATAAAACCTTATTGTTCCACATCAGATTTCCCTCCATCCAGGCTGCTGTTGGTTTACAGAAGCAGGATTACACAGATTTAAAACTTGCTACAGAGAAAATCCATTTTAGTCAGCATTAACTTATTATAGTAGTAGGACTAGTTTATAGTGGTAATTTAACGGTGCATTCAGGGACTTTATTGAACAATCGTAATTGACTGTACAATCAAAACAGCAACTTTTCATAATGAAACAAGTCGCAACAACTTCAGATATTGCTTCTCATTCTCCTGAATTTGAATTCACCACTTTTCAGGAGTGGATTGAGTTCTGTCAGCTGGAGAAAGATACTAATCATCAGTCAGGAATCTCATGTTGTCTTTTTCCACTACATAATTGTACACAGAGCTACACAGGATAATGATATGGGGGCCTGAAAGCTTTTATAAAGCTAGTTCTTTCTCAAAGTGACCAGAACGACGACCAGGACGCACACTTTTACCTGGGGGTTGAAGCTTTGAATAATCTTGTACTTATCATAATTAATGGTAAGGTGTTAAGAAGAAACAGCAGGAACCACAAACACATGGCAAAATGAAATAAAGAAGCAGTTTTCCACCCCCACTAACCAGATATTGAAGGCATTGACCAACACTAGACTCAAAAAGTTGAGATTTGGAAACAGAAATGTATCTCTCTGCAGCAAGTTTCAAACCTTTCATAGAAATGACCTGAAATCATCGGCGGCCTGGAACATCAGTCGCATCCTGGTGATCAGAGAAGTGAGTTATTTGCCTTTAACTGCTAAAGACGTACAAGTACAAGCACTGGTGACTTTATTACCTTCCCCAGAGCTTGGTTTACCTTCATTTGACCGTTAATTTCAGACCCTTTTTTTGTGTTCAAGTGTTTCTGCTTCTGTTTTAATTATGTTGTATTTTAATGTTTGTTGTCACAGAGCTGAGATTCCTTCATTTTATTGTGCCATATGGATCCTTGTGCCTATGGAAATCTGAATGTTTTTTTGTTAAAATATTGTATGTTACATAACCTGTAACCACATCATCGGTATGCACAAAACTCTGTCTGATGGGAGGCTTTTAACGCTTCAGCACACAGGATGTTATTATCTGGTTACTGCTGTTAAGAGTTTAGGTGGACCAGAGCAACATCCCTAAATAAGAAACACATTTTCATTATCTTTTTGTCTATAAACAGTTTTTCTAGAACCCAACGATATTCAGCTGATATAAAAGAGTGAAGCAGCAAATCCTCACATTGGAGTAGAAGGAAACAAAGTATATTTGTACATTTTTGCTTTAAAAAAGTGACTTAAAATGAATTGTTGCAGATTAGTTTCTACCATTCGACTAATCAATTGAATTGGCTTTATTGTTTTAGCAATACAAATAAGCTATGTGGTATGTTTGAAAGTAATCCTAAAAGTAAAAAAATTTAATGTCAAATTCTTGGTTTGGACATTCAGATCCAACTCTGAGTGTAAAGGAGATCTTCAGTCTATAAATTGTGTTCACCAGAGGTTCTTCTAGTAGCTTTACTGAATCGTATCACACAATCTTCCTTCTGTTTTTCCCAAAATGTCTAATTACTCTTTTACAAGTGGGCGTGCTGCCACGGACCCTCAGTGTAGAAACACAAATCTACTTTACTCATAAACAATTACAAAGAAACCCTCAGTGGAAGCAGCAGTTAACTGTATTATCGGATCTGCACCAACTCACCTGTGATCTACCTGACGTACTGCGTGCTAAAGTGTTAGCCTCTGTGTCGGACAGAGCTGCTATGGGAGCAGATTTTGTTGTGAAGTTTGAGCTGATGACTCTGATTCACTACGATCCAAGTTCGAGCACTCAGACTGCTCCATGCTGAAATCATGTGTTTTAATTATTCAGTGCAATCCGGTCCAATGTGATGGTCTTCATGTCTTGAATTGTCATTTAAATTGTATCAGAATGTTTCTCTGCAGCACTTTACCCATCGAGGGGTGGAAGACGAGTCCAGAGGTGTGTGTGTGTTTGTTTGTTTGAAAGCAGAATGAGTTCAGGGTCCCAGAGATGACGCTGGATTACAAGTAAATTGAAAAACCACTCATCGATCTCCAGGTTCATTTACAGTTAGCACACACTAGATGCATCAAATGTTTAGTCCCAATGTCAACTTTAGGTAAATATATATCTCCTCTACATTTAATGCAGCTGAGAAATCTTCATCTGTATTAAAATAAAAAAAATCTGAGCAAGCCTGCTGTGATATGAAATAACTGTATCAACCAAATGAACATTTGATAAAAAAATATCGTTTTGAGAGTAAGTAGTGTTCATTGGAAGAGCTTGTGGCGAACTGTGTGTTTGATATATGGAAGGTTTGAAATGCCTAAGGAAAGGAAATATATATATATA